TTAGAGGGTGGTAGATGAAAATGTCTGCTTTGTCTTCTAGTTTTTCTGTAATGAGCCATGTAAGGTCGTTTTTTTGTTTTTGAGACAGAGTTTTCTTGCTCTGTCACCAGGCTGAAGTGCAGTGGTGCGATCTCAGCTCACTGCAACCTCCGCTTCTTGGGTTCAAGCAATCCTCCTGCCTCAACCTCCCAAGTAGCTGGGACCACAGGTGCACACCACCACGCCCAGCTCATTTTTATACTTTTAGTAAAGATGGAGTTTCACCACATTGGCCAGACTGGTCTTGAACTCCTGACCTCAAGTGATCCCACTCGCCTTGGCCTCCCAAAGTGTTGAGATTACAGGCGTGAGCCACTGTGCCTGGCTGTGTAAGGTTTTTATAACATAAAATAACAAATTTGTTTTGAAACTATTACAGCCACACAGTGTATCACCAGTGGATAGCAGCAGTGGATAGCCACAGGATATCACCAGTGGATAGCAGCTGAAGAGCATCTTTCTCAGATACTTCATACTGTTTATCTGATTATGTTAAACCCCTAAACTTTAGGCAGTATGTGCAGATGATTCCAAGTTTCTTTTCTTTTCTTTTTTTTTTTTTTTTTGAGGCAGAGTCTGGCTCTGTCGCCCAGGCTGGAGTGCAATGGTGCGATCTCTGCTCACTGTAAGCTCTACCTCCCGGGTTCACGCCATTCTCCTGCCTCAGCCTCCCAAGTAACTGGGACTACAGGCACCCACCACCATGCCCAGCTAATATTTTTGTATTTTTAGTAGAGACGGGGTTTCACCATGTTAGCCAGGATGGTCTGGATCTCCTGACCTCGTGATCCGGCCACCTTGGCCTCCCAAAGTGCTGGGATTACAGGCGTGAGCCACCGTACCCAGCCAAATCCAAGTTTCTTAAAGAGGAATTCTCTGGCACTGACGGCCTCCAGCAGTGATAGGAAAGCAAACCTACCATGCAAATCTAACATCCTCCAACCAGGCAACCAGCTCTCTCCCACACTCCCACTTCTGCCACTGTCCTTACCACTCATCCTGTACATTTCAGCTTCCGGTACTACACATTCTCACCACAGTACCCTCCATGCTATAGCTGCCATACCAAGCACACTCGATCTGTGTATGAATGAAATGCCCCTATTTCCTTTACCAGTATGTCTCACAGGAGAACAGATTACGAGACACACATTCTTAGCCTTTACCCTCCTCAACCAGTAGTTAACAGGCTGCAGCCACTGAACTCATATTGAAGTGCTTGAGCAATTTTCAAATTTTCAAAGCACCAAACAGAAATCAGCAATGAGCTGCTCAGACTTGAATGGCACAGATTCAGTTATCAACTCACTGTGGTAAGGCTGTTTATACCACAATAATTGGATGCTCTAAATAGCAGTAACTCCAAAAGTGTGTGCGTGGTGGTGGTGAGATTATCAGGTGCTGGGTGTAAAGGTGTGTGAGTGTGTGTGTATTTGGGGATAAAGGAGAATACCCCAAAACAAAGCCAAGGAGACACTGCAAAACTGTCCATGCTGCATCATACATGTAAGCTCTCTGTACCACGCTCTTCTGTGGTTCAGTATCCTTTCAATCTAGGTGGCAATTTCTGCCCTTCTCACTAGTCTCCTGTGTTCCAGCCTCATTCTGGCAAACAAAATGAGCAGTACACATGCCATCAGTTTGGGAAGTCCCAGCATTAGGAACCCATGAGTGGATAAAGCCTTGGGCTTTCTTCCAGCTCAGCTACCACAGGCAGGTGGGGCACTCTAGACAAGTCACTTGGCCTCAGTGGAACTCATTCTCTATTCTGAAAAAGTTTTGAAAATTATAATCAAGGCCAGGTGTGGTGACTCATGCCTGTAATCCCAGCACTATGGGAGACCGAGAAGGGTGGATCACTTGAGATCGGGAGTTCAAGACCAGCCTGACCAACATGGAGAAACCCAGTCTCTACTAAAAATACAAAATTAGCCAGGCATGGTGGCACGTGCCTGTAATCCCAGCTACTCGTGCAGCTGAGGCAGGAGAATCAGCTGAACCCGGGAGGCGGAGGCTACAGTGAGCCGAGATCGCGCCATTGCACTCCAGCCTGGGCAACAAGAGCAAAACTCCATCTCAAACAAAAAATTATAATCAAAAGCATTCCTTAGGCACTCCAAGGAAGGGTTAAGGGGTGAGATCTGTGAGACCGAGGGCAGGGCTCTGAGACCCCTACCCCTGCCTGAACCAGATCTGCCCAAGTGCTTTACTTACTAGCCTCCCTTAAAATGCCATCTAAACACAGCTTTTTTTTTTTTTTTTTTTTTTTTTTTTTTTTTAAAGAGACAGCATCTTGCTGTCACCAGGTTGGAGTGCATCCTGGAGTGCACTGGTACAATCACAGCTCACTGCAGCCTCAACCTCCCTGGCTCAAGTGATCCTCCCACCTCACTCTCCCAAGTAGCTGGGACTACAGGCATGTACCATCGCATCTGTCTAATTTTTTTTAACTTATTTTTTGTAGAGACGGGGGTCTCACTATGCCACCCAGAATGGTCTTGAGCTCCTGCCTCGGCCTCGCAAAGTGCTGGGACTACAGGTGTGAGCCACTGCACCTGGCATAAACTAAGGCTCCGAAAGCAAACATGGCACTTCTGGAAATCATATACTCCAATCTCACCTCCAGATTTAACTATCCAAGGATCAAGCTAACATTTATACTAACATTTACAGAGCACTTTCTAAGTATTAGGCTTTTAAAATATCTTATTAACCCTTCATACCAATCCTAGGAGATGGATATTATTTCCACATTTACAGTTGGGAAATTTAAGGCTAAGAAAGATGAAATGACTTATCCAGGAACAACATGAGGAATGAAGTTATCAAAGTCCTTGTTCTGTTTTCCATAACTCACTGCCTGCCTTTCCAACGACACTAACTCCACCTCTTGAACTGCTTAAAGCTCCACATTATTTTAGCAACTAAAACTTAGGAGTTAAAAGTGCTTCCTGCCAAACCCAGTTGATACTCACTTCCCCCCATTTACAGAATTAAGACTAGTAGTGGGGACAGGAAGATGTGGGACACACAATGAAGAGCTTCCTCCCAGGCTTGCTGTTTCCCACTAATTAATCACCTCCACTCCTTTCATCATCTCTCTTAGGCTTTCTAGATCTTACAAGGTCTCTTCCCTTCTCCCTTTCTCACCTTCTCTAAGTCTACATTCCCATGTAGGCTAAATCAAAGGCTGTTTTTTTTTTTTTGGAGACGGAGTCTCGCTCTGTCGCCAAGGCTGGAGTGCAGTGGCGCTATCTCACTCACTGCAAGCTCCGCCTCCCGGGTTCATGCCATTCTCCTGCCTCAGCCTCCCAAGTAGTTGGGACTACAGGCGCCCGCCATCACGTCCGGCTAATTTTTTGTATTTTTAGTAGAGACGGGGTTTCATCGTGGTAGCCAGGATGGTCTCGATCTCCTGACCTCGAGATCCGCCCGCTCGGCCTCCCAAAGTGCTGGGATTACAGGCGTGAGCCACCGCGCCCGGCCAAAGGCTCAGTTCTTTAAATCAAGTTCTGACCAGAGGCAGGTGGATCTGAGTTTACTTCTCAGCTCGCCGACCATTTGTGCCTCCAAACAGTCCTGTAACAAATGGTTCTATGTATGTGACTATAGCCTTTTCCCCACACTCCACCTACACACCACTCCAAACCCTGGACCCCCTTCTTAAAATACACCCTGCACTATATTTCTGGATGAGTCCTTGGGGGTGAAAAGAGAGGGTAAATAGTAGGAAGAAGAGACTCTAAAGGGAAAGGTCAAACCAGACAGACATCCCGTCTTAGGGGTACTTTGGATCCTCTCCCCTGGGGCCTCTAAAGGACGCACAAACCCGAGACATGAGTGATGGTTAAAAAAATTTGGGTTTTATTGTTTTTGCTAAATAATACTAAAAAAAAAAAAATTCATTTTGAAGGCAGGGCTTGAATTATTTAATTTTGATCCATTTATTTAATTAAAAAAAAAGGAAGGGGAAAGAGATCATGGCCAAAAAAATAGTAGTTAACCCCCACCCCACCCCCAAAGCTCTAGCCAGTCATGTGAGCTTCACCCACATTCCACTCAGTGCCTGATATTCGGATGGTGGCATGCTCTGCCCCATGAGACTGCCTGAAGGCACGGGGCAATGGGTGCCAATTTTAGCTCTCAGCAGGTTAGTCAACCAGACAAACTGGTGGGTTAAAGTCCAGAAATTCTTTCCAGGTTTTCTGCTCATTGGCTGAGCACATACAAACTGTCACAAGCTTGTAAAATTTAAGGTGAGTTGGGGTGGGGCATAAGAGCAAGAGGATAGCAGGAGAAGAGAAATTACGGGTCACCCAAGCTTTTTCCTGGGTTGTGGCTCTGGATATAGATTTAAAGAGAGGTCAGAATAAATGGACTCCAGGTTTCTTATCAAAGAAAACGATCCCTCAAAGAGGAGCTGAGATGTGCCATGCAAAAGAGTTCTTCCTGCAGAGGCACAGGAGAAAGGGCAGCTGACTCTCTCATGTGGAGAGTGGTGAGGAAGTTCTTCTAGTACCATGAAGTAAGACAGGCAGAGGGAGAATCCTGAGGTTTGGGCCAAATGTGAGACTGGTACACACACAGTTAAAGACTGAAAAGCCATCAGGAACCCTCAAAGCCAAATTCTATCTGCACACTGGCTCTACAAAGTTCACAGCAAGAATCTCTTGCACCAAGTCAAGTTAGTGGCCTGGCTACGGACGGTGGGGAGGGCAATACATTTTTATTTTCAGAGGGATGAGGTGGGAAGAATAGCCATGATCTAGTAAAAAGAGACCTGCAAGAAGCAGAAAATATTTAGAGAACATTTTAATATATATTTTCATATATATATTTAAAGTTAAGAAAAATAAAACTAATTCAAGCCATGCCCTGTGCAAAAAAAAAAAAAAAAAAAGGAAAAAAAAAAGGAAAAGAAAACAAAGAAAAATTTAAAGTGAGACCTTTGCTGCTCTGGTCTCAACTTAAGAATCACAGTCAGCTTGTTACTTTTATTTTGGAAGAAAAGATGTAAAAGTTTCTTTCAATCATTCAGAAGGCAAGTGTAGCCACTTATAAAAACAGAATGGCAGGAACAGACTAGGAAAGGAAAGTTGGAAGTAAAAGGGCAGAGTGGGAAAAGAATTTTCAAAAATAAAATTAACAAGGTGACTGTTCCAGAAGAGGGCTGTGAAAAGGACATGGTGGACCGAAGTCTGTTAGTCAAGTAATGATTCAACTTTTAAATTATTCTCTTGTTCTTTTTTGTTGGGTGTTTTGTTTGTTCAAGTCTAAGATTTGGAAATGCTGACCCTTTGTTAAGAGCCAACAGGACATATAGGATCCCTTCCCTCCCCCGGCCTGCCTCCGCTGAAGCCACCACCAGCGCCTCCTTGGCTGGATGCTGGAAGAGTCCTCCATGTGTACGGACTCAGGATGACAGGGCAGCCTCCTTCTGTGGTTGCTGGGCTTGTGAACGTTGCAGTATCTTTTGGCTTTCCACGTCTCTAAAATGTTTTTCAACCTGAAAAAGACCAGGCAACACAGGTCAATAAAGGAGATGGGCAAGAAAGGTCTCCCGAACAATCCAACCCAGGTTTCCACAGCCCCATCCTGGCTGTCCAGCCCATGTACTATCCAGGCACCTTTGCCCTTGCTGTCTATTGGCCTTCCCAACCACAAGGTAGGCCAGGGCCTCCTGCTGCAGCTACATTTTTTTTGCAGTTTCCACTAAGATTGGCTAGAAGAAGGTGAATCTACAAACTAAACTATAAAATACAATGAGGGGAGATAATCATGACCTAAACTCCTACTCTCTGCTATACACAAGTACAAAATGAAAAGCTGGTGGGGGGATTACAGTCTTATCATACCTCCTACATCTATAATGTTGGTCTCTCAATGTTCCTCAGAGAGAAAAAAAAAAAAGCAGGAGTGTTTTGTAAGTTTGTTTTAACAAATGCTAAGTCTGATGACATATGCAGGGCCAGAGACACCATCAGCAACTGATTTATACCAACCAGATCTTTCTAGAAGGGTATCTGCAGCTAAGAAAAACCCAGTATGGGGCCAGGCATGGTGGCTCATACCTGCAATCCCAGCACTTTGGGAGGCCGAGGTGGGTAGATCACTTCAGGTCAGGAGTTCGAGACCAGCCTGGCCAACATGGTGAAACCCCATCTCTAGCCGGGTGTGGTAGAATATGCCTGCAGTCCCAGGTACTCGGGAGGCTGAGGCAGGAGAATCGCTTGAACCCGGGAGGCGGAACTTGCAGTGAGCCGAGATCGCGCCACTGCACTCCAGCGTGGGCGACAGAGCGAGACTCTGTCTCTAAAAAAGAAAAACTCAATATGGGATGAGAGAAACTGCTAGGGCCCAACACCACGGAACAGCCTTGCTAATTCCAAAAAGCCAGCAAAGGACATAGGGTCACCCACTCACTTCACTCCATATCACCCAGTGGTTCCATTCCCACAGGAGTAGCCAAGCCACAGCTGCAGAGCCCCACAGTGCAGGGAGGCCAGACAGTGATGCTACAGGAGGCAGAGACTGTAGCACAATGTCCTGCTCTGGTGCTAAAGATTGAAGGCCCGAGGAACCATCCTCTCCCCCCTAAAGTTTCAAGGCTCCTTTACTTACTATTTTGCGTACATGGCTCAGTGCACTCCCCTCTTTGCCTTTACAGTTTTCCACTTGATATGGGGGTGTAATAACAACTTCTTCCATGACTACGATGTTTTTTTCTTGCCATTTACAGTCTTTAATGCTGGAAGGAGAAGACAGCAGGCGAAATGTAACCTCTTGGGGGCATCCCACATCTCCTGTCTGATGAATAAATAACTCCAGACGGCTGATCCCAAGTTCCCAGCTCACCACTCAGCCAACAACTAGACACCAGCAGCCCATATAGTAGCCAAGAAACATTCCTTGGGTGCCACTGGCTAGAAAAGCAATGAAACTCATGCACATTTATTCTTGGGAGAGCCCAGAAATTGTTACTCTGAAGCATCAGAGACCTGGAGAGTCATAAAAATGTGATGGTAGCCTCAAGAATCCAAACTAAGATAGTAGCCTAGGGCAGAGGCTGGCAAACTTTTTCTCTTAAGGATCTCTTAACAAACATTTTAGGCTTTGCAGCCCATATCGTCTGTTACAACTAGCACTGAGTTCTGCCACAGTTGTGCAAAAGTAGCCATGGACAATAGGTAAAACAGAGGAGCAGATCTGGTGTGCTGGCATAGTTTGCCAACCATTGGCCTAGGGAGAAACACCACCTTTAGAAAGACAGGAGAACAGGCTGGGCGTGGTGGCTCACACCTGTAATCTCAGCGCTTTGGGCGGCTGAGGCGGGTAGACTGCTTGAGTCCAGGAGTTGGAGACCAGCCTGGGCAACATGGCAAAAACTCATCTCTACTAAAAATACATACAAAAAATTAGCCAGTAGTGGTGGCATGCGTCTGTAGTCCCAGTTACTCCAGAGGCTGAGGTGGGAGAATCACCTGAGCCGGGGAGATCGAGACTACAGTAAGCTAAAATTGCACCACTGCACTTCAACCTAGGCGATAAAAGTGAGACCCTGTATCAAAAAAAAAGAGAGGCCGGGCGTGGTGGCTCACGCCTGTAATCCCAGCACTTTGGGAGGCCAAAGAGGGCGGACCATGAGGTCAGGAGATCGAGACCATCCTGGCCAACATGATGAAACGCTGTCTCTACTAAAAATACAAAAATTAGCTGTGCGTGAGGCTGCACGCCTGTAGTCCCACTTACTCGGGAGGGTAAAGCAGGAGAACTGCTTGAACTTGGGAGGCAGAGATTGCAGTGAGCCAAGATTGAACCACTGGACTCCAGCCTGGCGACAGAGTGAGACTCTGACTCCAAAAAAAAAAAAAAAAAAGAGAACAAACTCCCCATCTTCTCTGACCCTATCACCCATAATGGGAGCTGCTCTTCAGACTGGCTCTTCTCAATTATCAGACAGTTGGGCACTTGCCAGACTGGGAAAACCCATTCCAGTTCACACTTGGGAAGCCCCAGGGCAGCTGATGCGACTGAGAGTTCCTTCACATACCTGTAAATGTTCAGATACTCACACCACGGCCTCAAACAGCTCTGATGCCAGCTGCCATCTGTGCACCAGATCCAGGGTGGTTAAACAGAGTAACAGAAGGCAGTGTGGGGTGGGGAGCGGGGGTGGAGAGGGGTGTCAAATGTTCCAGTTTTTCAGCAGCTAGGGAAGCTAGTGGAGAGTCAAATGACTTCTGCTGTGACAAAATGTCTTTTTTTTTTTTTTTGAGACAGAGTTTTGCTCTTGTTGCCCAGGCTGGAGTGCAGTGGCACGATCTTGGCTCATTGCAACCTCCACCTCTAGGGTTCAAGCAAATCTCCTGCCTCAGCCTCCCGAGTAGCTGGGATTACAGGCACGCACCACCACGCCTGGCTAATTTTGTATGTTTAGTAGAGATGGGGGTTTCACCATGTTGGTCAGGCTGCTCTGGAACTCCCGACCTCAGGTGATTTGTCGCCTCAGCCTCCCAAAGTGCTGGGATTACAGGCGTGAGCCACCGCACCTGACCAACAAAATGTCTTTTAAGAGGTGGTAAGAAGGTGACCTGCTCTAACTCCGTGTTCATCCCAATCTACACTATATACAGTGATATAATCCAAAACTAAGTTTTACAGACAAGAAACTGAAGACCAGAGAAGACAACTTGTCTGTGATTACACTATTTTTCTGTGTGGAAAGGGGGCTACAGTACCCGCAGCTCTGGATGCCGGCATTTTGCCAATACCCTACCAGCTTCCCCAGTAGACTTTTAGGAGACAACCACCCAAAAGCCTGCCACCAGACAGCACAACCAGGTAGCATTACCCCAGGACAAAAGACCTCTCCGATCCCCCAACTCACGTCTTGTGAATGGTCTGGAAGAGCTGCTGGCCCTCTAGAGAGACACCAGCACTGATTGCATAGGCCTGGCTCAGCTTCTCCTCCTTCTCTGTCCGTGCTTTGCTGGCAAGCTAGGGTGGAAGAGAGGAAAGAGACTCAGAATAGGATTCATCTTCATTCTTCCCAACAGTCAGGACCTAAGCTGAAGAAAGGAGGCCAGGAAAGACTGGTTTGGACAGATTTCTGTTTTCTCAGAAATGAAAAGTGAAACAAATTTTAAAAACCCACAACATACCTGAACAGTTACCGGTATTCCAAGAAAATGTTCCTTCCTTCCTTCTAATACTTACTGCATACCTACCATGTGCCAGACATTCACTATGCTAGGCTAAATACAGCCTGAAGTGGGTGGGGGAGACAAACTATAAAAAAGTAACTGAAAACAAGGTAATTTCAGACAGTGATAAGCACTAGGAAGAAAATAAAGCACTTTTAAAATTATAGAGTGTGGCTGGGGGACTATGTGATGGCAAATGATGGTGAGAGATTTAAAACTATATACATTTCCGACCAGGGGTGGTGGCTCATGCTTGTAATCCAAGCACTTTGGGAGGCCGAGGCAGGTGGATCACATGGTCAGGAGCTCAAGACCAGCCTGGCCAAGATGGTTGAAACCCTGTTTCTATTAAAAATACAAAAAAAAAAAAAAAAAAAATTAGCCAGGCGTGGTGGGGGGCTCCTATAATTCCAGCTACTTGGGAGGCTGAGGCAGAGAACTGCTTGAACCCAGGAGGAGATGGTTGCAGGGAGCCGAGATTGTGCCACTGCACTCTAGCCTGGGTGACAGAGCAAGACTCCGTCTCCAAAAAAAAAAAAATATATATATATATATATATATATTCACACACACACACACACACACACACACACACACACACACTTTTAACTGGCTGTATCACTGAGGTTGGGAGTTCGAGACCAGGCTGGCCAACATGGTGAAACTCCATCTCTACTAAAATTACAAAAATTAGCCGGGCATGGTGGTGCACGCCTTTAATCTCAGCTACTCAGAAGGCTGAGGCAGCAGAATCACTTGAACCCAGCAGGCAGACGTTGCAGTGAGCCGAGGTCATGCTACAGTACTCCAGCCTGGGCAAAGCAGCGAGACTCTGTCTCTTAAAAAAAAAAATATATATATATACATATACACAACACACACACACACACACACACACACGTGCAATTTCCATTTCAAGATGAAAATAAGGAATGTTTATGAGCTATTGTGCTAGAGCCTCCAGTTTAAAAATTAATACATACTACACCTTCACAGACCACAATTTGAGCCTCTAAAAACTCTTACAGGACATTATCTGTGCTCACATAAGGAGCCAGGATTCAAGTAAATCTAACCATAAACGCTGTCCACCTTTGCTTCAGCTAAAGGCAACCCTGTCCCGTTTTTGAGAAAAAGGAAGAGTCTTGGCCGGGCGCGGTGGCTCAAGCCCGTAATCCCAGCACTTTGGGAGGCCGAGACGGGCGGATCACGAGGTCAGGAGATCGAGACCATCCTGGCTAACACGGTGAAACCCCGTCTCTACTAAAATACAAAAAAAATTAGCCGGGCGAGGTGGCGGGCGCCTGTACTCCCAGCTACTGGGGAGGCTGAGGCAGGAGAATGGCGTGAACCCGGGAGGCGGGGCTTGCAGTGAGCTGAGATCCGGCCATTGCACTCCAGCCTGGGCAACAGAGCGAGATTCCGTCTCAAAAAAAAAAAAAAAGAAAAGAAAAAGGAAGAGTCTGAATTCTACGTCATCTCTGTTCCTTCACTGCCCTCTGGTGGAACAATCCACAAACTGATCAAAAGAAAATCTAGTAAAATCTGGTAGTCTACTACAATCTAGTAAATTCTACCCTGTCAATCCCTATCACCTCTCCAGCACATTTCTGATCCCCACCCCACACTACTGGATGCTAGAGATTGCAGAGGCACAAATTTGTTTGAGTGTAAGACAACACAAATGTGCCAGACAAGGTAGTTAAAACAAAAGCAAACAATGCATCTTAAAAGTCCAACAAATAATCTGGAGACTTTTCAGACCCATGAACATAAACAGCTGAGTCTAACAATGCTGCAGCACATGTGCAAACACACACAAAAACACACAATTTGTCCTCAAACATCAGTTCCTTAAATAAGAAGAGGCACTGGCCAGGCGCGGTAGCTTATGCCTGTAATCCCAGCACTTTGAGATGCCAAGGCGGACGGATCACCTGAGGTCAGGAGTTCGAGACCAACCTGGTCAACATGGTGAAACCCTGTGTCTACTAAAAATACAAAGATTAGATGGGTGTGGTGGTGCGTGCCTTTAATCCAAGCTACTCGGGAGGCTGAGACAGGAGAATCGCTTGAACCCGGGAGAAGGAGACTGCAGTGAGCCGAGATCACGCCACTGCACTCCAGCCTGGGCGACAGAGCAAGACACCGTCTCAAAAAAAAAAAAAAAGCGGGGGGGACCATACCTACAGCATGTTCCAAAAGTACCTTGATGCTTGGAATCTTCAAACATTTATATTCTGCTTTTACAGTGATCCATCAAACCATAAACCAAGCATAGCTTTTTTTTCTTGAGATTGAGTTTCGCTCTTGTTGCCCAGGCTGGAGTACAACGGCATGATCTCAGCTCACTGCAACCTCCGCCTCCCAGGTTCAAGGGATTCTCCTGTCTCAGCCTCCCGAGTAGCTGGGATTACAGGCGCACACTACTCCCCGCCCAGCTATTTTTTTTTTTTTTAGACGGAGTCTTGCTCTGTCGCCCAGGCTGGAGTGCAGTGGCGCAAGCTCTGCTCACTGCAAGCTCCGCCTCTGGGTTCACGTCATTCTCCTGCCTCAGCCTCCCGAGCAGCCGGGACTACAGGTGCCTGCCACCATGCCTGGCTACATTTTTTTGTATTTTTTTAGTAGAGATGGGGCTTCACTATGTTAGCCAGGATGGTCTCGATCTCCTAACCTCGTGATCCATCCACCTCGGCCTCCCAAAGTGCTGGGATTACAGGCATGAGCCACCATGCCCGGCCATTTTTTTGTATTTTTAGTAGAGACAGGGTTTCACCATGTTGGCCAGGCTGGTCTCCAACTCCTGACCTCAGGTGATCCACCCGCCTCAGCCTCCCAAAGTGCTGGTATTACAGGCGTGAGCCACTGCGCCCAGCTCCAAGCATAGTTTTATAGCAGGGGAAGTAAACCAAGTGTCTAATTCTTTGTTTATAAAATTAAGCACTTTGTCAAGGCTTAAGTTTGACTATGAAAAAAAAAGGAGGCCTTCGACTGCCATGTGGCACTGGGTATTCTTGTCCTTGCAAGTTTCAAAGACTGTCTTAGGAAGGAGGAGCGGGTGTGAGCACAGAAGGCCAGCTCATGCTGTCATTTCAGCCTCCCTGGGTAAGAGAGGGAAGATGGCAAAACTCTGCAGTGATCTGAAGCCAGAGCTCCTTTTTCACAGGATCTCTAGGACGTGGAGAGAAACAAATACAGCAGCAATATATATATAATCTTTCAAGACTGGCTGCCATTCTGGCCCCACCAGGCTATAACTTTACAGACAAATAAACACACAGGCTGACAGCATTCGAAGCAGTGGCAATCCCAACTGTAGCAAGAAAGCCTTGTAGCTTCTATGTAGTTTCTATGGAAAGAGAGCTGCTGATGATGTATTTTAAGCAGCAACAAGCAACGCTTACTCAAGCACCAAAAAAACCCTGGTAACAAGGAGAAGTTTCCTTTTTTTTTTTTTTTTTGAGACGGAGTCTTGCTCTGTGGCCCATGCTGGTACAGTGGTGCGATCTCAGCTCACTGCAACCTAAGAAGGAGTTTCCTGGAATCTTGCTTTCCAAACAATGCCTTAAGAAAATCTGAACTCGGCCAGCACTGTGGCTCACGCCTGTAATCCCAGAATTTTGGGAGGCTGAGGTGGGAGGATCACTTAAGCCAAGTAGTTACAGACCAGCCTGGGCAACATAGTGGGACCCTGTCTCTATTAAAAAAAAAAAAAAAAAATCTTCAAGGAAAGAAGGAAAAACTGGAGGGTGGCAGAGCTCCTGGGAAGCATCTAGTGGTCAGGCAGGCATTTACCTTACAAGCAGACTGGAGGATCTCACTTTGAAACCTCAATCCCCTTTAAAAACATTTATTCCTGAAAATCAAAATCATCTCCGAATGCTGGGTCAGAGAAAGCTGCTTCTATAAAGCTTGTGTTGACTAGATAGTCTGAACGCTCAAAGAGTAAAATGTCTTTGTCACCTACATAGTAGCTTAAAAACATAACATCACCCCATTTAGTAAGAGAAAAGAGTTGGCTCAGGAAACCAGGCATCTATGTAGAATGTTTAAGAATGGAACTGACAAATTAAGCTAGAGAAGGGGAGGAAAAAAAGCTGGATGAAGAGCCACTTGAATTTTTGCCAGAGAGAAAATAAAATGGATATAAATCTCAGCCAGAAGTGATTCTTTAGACAGGCTGAGTAACAATGACACACTGGTTATAGAACGATTTCAAAATACACCCCCTACCCCCGCCAAAATACCAGTTGTGCAAGTGCAATCTCCCCTAAACGCTCCAAAAGCAAAGGAGAATGGATTAGACAATTCTCCATTTCAATCCTAATGCAAACAGATCCCAAATGCTAAATGATGTAAGGGGGCACTTGGAAAAGTCAGCAGAAATGACTGTAAGCTGACTACGTATTTTCAGTTTGCCCCCAATATCCCCAACCTATAGTAATGCTTTAAGGATCTAGACTGAGCTACAGGGATCTGCTTTTAACAGGAAGCTGTACAAATGTGATAAAATCTCCTAGAGAGGACCCCATCAATTAGGAGTCCCCATCAATGGGGGAGACCACTGTCAATAAAAGAAATTGGGGGTGGGGAGAGGAAGATTACCTTGTCCTTTTTTTAGTTATGAAAACTCATACAGAACATGAATATGCCTTCTTTTGTAAAGCAAATGATGATCACTCTACCCTCAATTTAGCTACCATACAAATCTAAACTTTCCCACATATTTTTGCAAATGACTATATACCTATAAATGGCCCAATTATTCTAAGTTAGTAAGTTTATGGTTTTTGT